ACACTCGACGTTGATTTGTTGGCTCTAAAAGTAAGAGCCAATCACGGCCCTTGGATTGTTACTTTGTAAGCGGTTTGTTCTGCTGACGCGCTCAATTGTTGAGGCTCGTCGACGCTCGCGTTACTGCTCATGCGCGGGTTTTCCCCAATAATTGCATACGTAAGTGCAGTGGAAATCGGCTGACGTAGAGGGTTATCTATTTCTCGGATTTCGCCTGAATACGTTCTCAGCTTCTCGTCGACTGACACGTCTGCGGTGAGTGAACTTGTTAAATTATATCCTCCACCATTCCATACTTTTCTTCGTGCCTCCTCGACTTCAGCACAATGCGCAAAGTATCGCGTGAAACACATTGGTTATACACAATGATAGTGGTGGTATCGCGCCTTTTCGAGGAGAAGCTATTCGATCTTTGCCGGCATTTTAATAACGATGGGAACTGGCTATTTGCTTGTGTAGAGAAGACTATTTCACATGGTCATTGACGGTCTCCTTATTTACGACGTCAAACTTAGTGAGAATCGTATATTGAGACACAGTACTCTACTTGTAATTTCGCTTACATAACCTCTAAATGTCTCAAAGCATTATATATAGCTGGAAACATTTTTACAAAAAAAAAATTATATATATATTATTTTTTTTATTTCTTTGTATTTCTTTTTCAGGTGCAGACATTCAACACTCCGCAGAACATGGCAGACTCGGATGATGAATACGATAGAAAGAGACGTGATAAATTCAGAGGTGAAAGGACAGAGTCGTATTCACGGGAACGCAGAGATGACCGTAGACGTGATGATTGGGTCGATAGGTACATACGCCATATTTTTAATTATATACATTCTGTTTTATACATGATGATAAATAAAATTCTAATTTTCTCTTTTCCTTTTGTGTTGCCGATGTTTATATATTTCTACTGAATATCTACTGAAAATCTTTTGTTATCTCTTCTATAGTAGAGAGTGGTCAAGTCGTCCGAGACAGCGTCCAGATTATCGCGAGTATCGAGGTGGAGGAGGTGGAGGACGCGATCGTTACAGTCCTGCGAGATCTCAAGACATACAACCACCTTTGAAGAGAATGCGATTTGAGTGGGACGACAGACCAAGATATGGTCACGACTATTATGGTGGAGGCAGCAGTGGTGGTGGTGGTGGTGGTGGTGGTGGTGCTGGTGGTGGTGGTGGTGCTGGCGGCGCTGGTGGAACTTCGTGGAGTCCAGATCATTATCCCCCTCCTCACCATGGCAACCATCACTATGGCAATCACAGCAATAGCAGCAGGTTCGTTTGTTTTGTTATGTTAAAGTCATTCTCTTCTTTTGAGTATTGCTGGATTATGATGAATAGTAAATAATGAGGAGAGCAGGATTTATGAGAATTCCGCCAAAACGGAGTCGTTTGACTCCAAGATTATTAGCTAAGTTGAGGTAGTATTCATATTTATAAAATACTAAAAGCTTACTTTTAAAGAACTGGAACA